TTCATATGCACCATCCCAATGGTCGCACGCAGATCCATCCCACGTGTCTGGAACAGCCTCATCTTTCCGCCACATATCCAAGGCACACTCCAGTGTGTCCCAACACTCGCATATCACAGGACCCTCCCGCCATTCAAAGGCATCTTCTCGCCAGAGCCATGCATCTCGAGCCTCAGGAGCAGAGAGTATTGCCGCCCGTCTCAGGGAAGCACGGATCAATACCGCAATGGCCAGCGTTGCTGCAGAAGCAGCACTAGATGACAAGCTACATAGAGAAGACTTGGCCAAAGCTCAGGCCAACTTTGAGATTTTCCAGCAACAACAGAGAGCAAAAGAGGCAGCCGCAATAGAAGCGATCCTGCAGAGAGAGTTAGAAGATGCCATGTCAACACCCAATTTGGAAAGTCTAGGAAGGGAAAGTTCTCACAGCTGTGTACAGGCCTATGTGGACAACTAAAGCGCACTCCAGAATGCACAGATGAGAGCACCACAGCCAGCCACAAGCCCCCCAAGACCGAGTAAACGAACAGAGGAATCTCACCGACCTGATTTGCTGGTCAACCGCAGAGTTGATGTCACGACACCTAGGTCACGAGATCCTCCCGCCATTGCTGCCACATCAAACCTGATGGGATTACCAGCAATGGCAATGACTGCACAGCGGGGAGTGCCACAAGATCTTTCCACCATTATTACCCCACAGAACCTGCCAAACCATACCACTAATGGCAATCAGATGGATCCACCTGTAGCACCAATGGCCCTACAGCAGAACCAGCCGACGCTCAGGGACGAGGTTGAAAGAGTTAGAGCCACACTAGAGTCACTAGAGTCCCTGCTGCACCAACAGGAGGCAGCGCCCCAAGGAATTGCCACCAATCCTGACTACAGAGGACAGTCTCGAGTATCAGCTCTGACAGCCTACCAGGGAGCTAGCTACACTCTACCGGAAACACAGACCTTCCAACACGTAAGCAAGCAGGAGCCTGGGCTCCCTCAGCTCAGTGCCAGTGCAGCAGAGTTCAGACCAAGCCAACAAGGTCCTTTGCACGTGACATGGCAAAATACCCTCAGCCAACAATATACCGAAGGAAGTTACCAGCCAGCCATGCCACCTCCACCAGTGTTCCAACCGCGCCTACACCAACACTGCACGCTTGTGACAACCAAACCTGTTTTGGTAGCAACAGTGTTTCAACCGCGCCTAGAACAACACTGCATGCTTGTGACAACCAAACCTGTTTTGGTAGCAACAGTGTTCCAACCGCGCCTAGAACAACACTGCATGCTTGTGACAACCAAACCTGTTTTGGTAGCAACAGTGTTCCAACCGCACCTAGAGCATCGCACGCTTGTAACAACCAAACCTGTTTTGGAAGCAACCATGTTCCAGACAAGCAAGACTTACTACAATTTAGCTTTGTCCATAAAGGACAAACAAGACAAACAACGCCCCCAAGACTGGGAGTCATGGAGCATACTCCCAAAATGTCTCCAAAGCATGCAAGTGCAGCGCATGTATGTCTCCAGCTCACCTGTCCCAGTGCAGAAGAAAGAGTTGTACACTTCCTTAGATGTGTCTACGAAGGTGTCTGCAGCCTTAAGATACGTCTCACTCTACAGCGGGGAGAGCCACACTTACGTTATCTTGTTTGTGACCATAAGATGCATCAGAGTCTACAGCGGGGAGTGCTGCAGTCTTGGTGTCTTCTTTGGAAAAGCAAGACTAACAATGCAACAAGGTTACACCGTACCAAGGTTACAGCACAACTTTGGCTGTAAAGCTGACCAACTTGACAGCAAAGACGTTGTGCCTTGAACTACAGTCCACCACCTTCTACGCAGACAGCAAGGCGATGTCAAGCTACATCTGCAAACAAAGTGGACACTTCTACGTCTATGTAAGCAACAGAGAGAAAAGGATTGAAACATCCTTAAGCCCTGAACAATGGCAATATGTGCCAACAAATAAGAACTTTGTCAACCAAGTAAAGTGGCCCAACCTTGCCACACAGATAACAGAACTGATCTGGCTAGAAAGTCTTCAGCTCTTGGCCTGTCCAAATAGACAGATGCCACATAGACCAAAACGTTATGCACTTCCAGCTTCAGATCAAAGTGCCAACCTTCAACCTCAGACACCCGGTAAACGTCAACCAATCCACTTCAAAACCCTGTTTAAGCGGAGACAACTGAAGTTAGGCATAGTTTTGATCGTCTTGATCACTTGTCTCAGCACCCCAAGAATTAGCCTTGTAGAAGCCTGCAAAGACTTACTGCCTTTCATGGACTCCATGTCATTAAATACACTGACACCCACACATGAAGTCCTCACCCTGACGACAACAGTAGCAGCCCTCTTCAGTACTCCACCAGTGGCTCCAGGCCCTTCGGTTCTTGAGTATCCTGAGTCTTCTGCTCAAGCTGTTGTTCCTGATTCTTCACTTCCAGCTGCTGTTCCTGACCCTTCAGTTCCAGCTGTTGTTCCTGATTTTTCAGCTCCGGCTGTTCCTGAGTTTCCAGATGTTCCTGATCCTGAGTTTCCAGCTCCGGCTGTTCCTGAGTTTCCTGATGTTCTTGATCTTGATTCTTCAGCCCCAGCTGTTCCTGAGTTTCCAGATCCAGCTGTTTATGTCTTTCCAGGTTTTTCAGTTCCTGAGTATCCTGTGAATCCAGTTCCCCCGATTCCTGAGAAGCTTGGGTTCCAGTTTTTTCTGTTCCAGATTTGGCTCCAGTTTCCTTCACAGGAAGAAGACCTTGTCTCACGGGGAGGCAAGACTGCATACCAGAACTATTGGCCCTGGGTACCAGGCCCACCCACTTGATGAACTAGTTTACCCAGCTGAGATCCAGATTGTGAAGCCACGTGAGTCAGGTCATGACTCAAAGACACTTGTACCAGGCTGATCACCGATTTGGTCTGTTGCTGATGAAGACTGAACCAGAAGATTAAACCTCAAATTATGTATTGTCTTATGCATTATTTGATGTAACACTTGCCTTTTAGCATAATCGTGCATGTTTTATGTTTACCTTATAGTTATGCATGTTTGATACCAAGTTTTATCTATTTAGTCACAAGTTAACCACAATGAGTATTGCATGCCTTGATGCTACGTTTTTACTATTGTAGTAGTGGAAATATAAATTTCCAAGCGGGGAGTGTTCTGGCCCATATAGCTCTATGGCCCATATAGCTCTATGGCCCAGCTCTACGTTGGAGTGTCTGGCAGTTATTGGGTTAAATGCTAGGTATGTGGATGGGTCAGTGGGAGGAGTTCCAAAGGTCATTGGGAGACTTCCTGGACACAAGCCACTTGGGAATCTCTTTGTCTGTAAGAAGCATGGGCCATGGAAGGTCTCCCTATAAGCATAAAGATGGTATAAAGAGCAATATCTTCTTACCTAAAGGAAGGATCTAAAAGATGAACAAACATGTATTTCCAGCAGCACCAATCTCAACTTGAACGCAAGTAATCTTTCTCATTAAAATATATTTTGTTTATTATAAGATCGTTTCATTTGAGTTAACTATCTGACAGGATTTAAAAGAGATCATTTTAAGTTTGTGTCAGAATAGTTACCCAACCAAGCAAAAAGTCCTTTCAAATATATAATTTCCATTTTCCTCAAATGCCCTCCTTCCACAGTCTCAAATGAAGTCATTGCCTATTTAGACATAACCTGATGGCTACAGGTTGATATAACACTCATATTATACTGGTTCATTCACATTATAAGTTTTTTACTTTCATGTAGGTAGCCCTTTGTTTAGTGACTGTTCAAAATTGTGATGGACTTTCCTGGGGGACTTATGACCAGGTTCTGAAGTTCTCACCCACCCCTCCCATGGTCACCTGACCGTGTTTTAGGATGGTTTGTCAAAATCTGACTTTTATTTCTGGTTTTTGGCAAACTGGCTCATAGCAAATCATTGGTTCATTTAATGTCAGCCGCAAAGAAGGTCATAATGTTGAGTTGTGACCTGATTTACAAACATCAAGACTTATGACTGTGATGGGCAGTGTCCATTATAGTTATAGATTAGAACTATCTGTGTTTTTTTAAGTTATTTAACTTTCTTAACATACAATATTAAAAAACATCTTTAAACTTAAAATGAAAACAAAATGCAACCCCAAACTAAACATAGAAATGAAGAAAGAAAAGGAAAAATAAAAAACTAGCTTAGGCTTATCAATAGTCACTTGTTTACTAATGCACCACTATAATATAATCAATAGAAAGTATTTTTGTAAAAATACCACAAAATTGTATGTGGCTTTAGTCAGTAATGATTCCTGATTCATTCCTGGACATGTTCCTATAGTTTTATTTATCAAATTTCTACACTACCCATCTCACCTGAGTGATTCTGGGCAATTTTCTTACAAAATTTTGGAAGTGGTTTGGCATTGTCTTCTTCCCTCAGGGCTGAGAAGATTTAACTGGCCCAAAGCCTAAGGAAGGACAATTCTTGGTCTCCCAATTTCTAGCTTGGTGCCTTAACCACTGCACCAACATGCTTAAGTTGTGAAATCAGCACCTCTGTTATGATTTGGGAAGGAAGGAAAAATCCTTAAAACTGTAATTACGTAACAACTGATTTAGAGTCATGAACCCTTCTTCTGTCCAAACTTTCCAATAGAAAGTTTTACACCAATTTTCAAAGTAGAATTTTTCAAAAGAAATATTTATAACTTATCAAAACTAAAACTATATGCCCATATGGTTCAAAGATTCTACTTTTATAGCTTTGATTAATATTAATATAAGCTACACTTAAAATTATGTAATAAAAATCTCCAATGATCTCAAACTATTAATTTAAAAATTAAAATTTTATTTTAATACTGGTACTTGAAAAAACATTGACTTTTTAAAAATAGACAACTTTCAGAGGATCACTTGTATTAAGCAACACTGCTATTAAAATATCAGAATATCTAAAACTTGTTTGAAGAATTTAAAAGAGATAAATACAGCATGCCTAGACTCACAGAACTAGGACTGGAATGCCGTCTGATTTTAGGAGATTCCTTCTCAGTTGATGAAGATTTGAAGCTAATGCAGGCGTTGTTCTCTGAATGCACCCTTTTTACTTGACTATTTGGCTTCTCAAATGGGTCAAAAGTGCTTTGTGTCCTCTGAACTCTGACTTTTTTGTCTTCTGGAATTGTGTCCAAAGGTTTGATCACAGAATCCATTCCTTGGCAATTTCGTGTGGACATCTTTGTGACGCATATCTAAGAAAAGGAGACAAAATAGTTATTAAATCTTATTTAATTTGCTAAAATACTTTTATGGCAGGATAAGAAAAGTAATATATTCCTACATTCCATAATTCTATATGGGAAGTGGACTTATCTTGTATGTATTCCAACATACAGCCCAAATGTTGGAGATGTGGCAATAATGATGCGACATACTTTCATATTTGGTGGAATTGTAAAAAAGTAAAGGCTTTTTGGATTATGATTTGGTGGAACATTCAAAAGATTTTTAGAAAGAAGATAAAGTTTACTCCTCAACTATTTTTACTTGGTATTTTTGTTGACTTAAATGAAAAAGAAACTACTTTGATGTTGAATTTATTAACTGCAGCAAGGTTACTAGTAGGTCTATATTGGAAGAAAGATTCTTTGCCTACTTTAGAAGAATGGATATTTAAAGTATCTAGTTTTGCAGAAATGGCAAAAATTTCTGCTTATTTAAAGGATCATACACAAGAAAGATATATTACTGTATGGGGAAGGTGGATAGATTATATTCAGAAAAAATATGGAATTAAAAAGTTTTATTTATTTTATGAATGAATATCAAATATTATAGAGAATTGTTTTATAAGTTATGGAGTTAAAGGTTAATTATGATATTTTTTTTCTTTCTCTTTTTTTTTCTTTTTTTTAATTATTATAATTTTCTTTTTCTTTTTTTTTCTTAACCCTGTATTCTGCTCTGGGAAGTGAAGGGAGGGGGGGTGGGGGTGGGAGGGAGGGTAAGGGGGGGTTCTCTATTTTAAAATTTTATTGTATTTTTATAAATGATTGTATGTTTTAAAAAATAAAAATTTTCAATAAAAAAAAAAAAGGAAGTGGACTTAAAACCACAATTGAGTCCCAAATTTTTGTTGCTAAATTTTACATCCTTTTCTTGTCACAGTTGTTCAGTGAATCACTGCACTGAATCACAGTTGTATAGTGAATCACATGGTTGTTAAGTGAATCTATCTTCCCCGTTGGCTTTACTTGTCAGAAGGTTATAAAGGTAATTTTGACCATTTGACTATGTGGAGGTTACAATGGTCATAAGTTCTAAAATGGTCATGTCAATTTTTTCAGTGCCTTTGTAACTTTGAATGGTCACTAAATGAATGGGTGTAAGTCAAGGATTATCTGTATAAGATAATTCTGAATTAAAATGTGTATACATTAATGACTGCAAGGTCACTTAGAATGAAAAAAATGGCTTCCAGAGAAGTAAACATGTTGGAAAACTGGTAACCGCAGGTCAAATAAAGCATTTTGACTTTTTTATGCAAACTTCTCCCCAGTTTTTCATTATATTAAATGAAATCACAAGCTTAGCAAACATCTGAATTGACCCTCTAGTTTTCTACAATTAAAAGTTAATAAAATACTATTATCTTGAAAGTTCTAAATTCTAATTAGCACATATCACATTGAGGGGTCCTTGGTGCTCTCTGAGTTTGGTTGTTTTTTTGCAGGCATTTCATTAACCTAATTAGATAACATCATCAATGCTAATAAGGAATGTTGTTTGCTGTCAGTTTATATTCTGGTGTCTTGCCTGTCTGGGTTGGGGTGATCTTAGGGATTCTTTGGCTGGTCTTTTTACTAGTGGCTCTTTGGCAGTTTCTTGATTGGTTATTGCTTACTTAGAAGATGGATAGGAAGTATTGGGTTTCAACCTCTTTACATTGGGAGTGTTATATTGTAAATGTATAAGATACTGGCTTATACATTTTGAGCTTAACCGCACATTTTGGTTTAATATTCCTAAGATTATTATTATAGGGCATATAAATTAGGAACAAAGATACAAATGCTTTAGCTACCAATGTCATGTAATTTGGCATTGGGTAAGTTTCTGACTTTTGAGTAAGTTTCTGTTTGGTTTTGGTGATCTAGTTGAATTAAAAAAAAGCTAGATGCAATTATTCACCTTGGTTAACAAAGGACTTAATATATTGTAAGCTACAACATCTAAGACATGTTCTGCCAAGTGGCCTTCAACAAAAAGAGCTTTTTAAAGCAGGCATCTGCTATCCAGGAGTCTTTAAATCTATTGACATTACCTGAGTCATTGTTGCTATACTTTAGTCAAACACAAGCAGTGAGTAACATGAGCATTTATACTGAAGCAGAAGGAGGGAAAACTTTCTGTGCACTATCAATTTTCTGATCTGCAGGAGGTCTACAAAGCATTACATTTTCATTGTAGAAAACACACAAGGCACAAACTGTACAATCTGCTTTCCCACACAGTTTTTAGCTGAATTACAGTTGCATAAATTTCATCCTCATAGACACTGATGGAACCATTGGCTGAAAACCTATATATACTTAAACACAAAATACAAACACTTCTTGTTGACAATGTTTCTGTAAATGAAATTTATTTCTGAAAGAACTCATTTCCAAATGTCAAGAAGGATGAAACTATTAGTTTTATCATTTCAAGAGTCTTATGGTAAAAGTTGGGATTTCATTAACTTTATATATTCAGTTTCACAGAATGTGTGAAGGCACACCCTTCCCAAGTCTGTTTCCTATTTTCTAAAAGAAATACTATTAATAAGTTTAGTCTTGCCTCAAGAGACTCCATTTCTTAGAACCAATTTTGAAACATCATCCAAAACTGAAAGGGGGAAAAGGTCTGAAAACTGTGGCTTGCTTAAAATTACATCACATTTTGGAAAACATTGTAGTCAGATGAGGTAAATCTTATTTGTATCCAAAATAACCCTTGACAACGGAAATAATGTTGCTGTAAAAAACATTTGGATCTATTTTGATTCCTCCAAAATATTATTTGTTTCCACTCCATGATATTTCAAATATTAATTTTAATCACAATATCATATAGGTGGAATGAGCAGCCCTAATACAAACAAAAAATGTTTGAGATTCAGAACCTAATTTTTAGTAATGCAAGAAGAACAAGAAATTGCTCTTTCAACTTATTTCTGAATGTAGGCTATTCAATATTCTTAGGCTTCATGTTGTGTGGTATAGCGATTAATATGTTGAATTAGAACCAGATTTAGTCAAGTAGAAGTCCATCTCAATGAGCGAGACTGGACCAGCCTCTCTGTCAGCCCAACCAATCTCATAGGATTGTTGTTAGGTAAATCTGGAACAGGGGGGCATTATAGATATTTGGGTGCCTGGAGCAAAATAATAGGATATAAATATTACAAATAAATATAAAAATATTTTGAAGGAATAATCTGAAATGAAAATATTCACGATCCATTTTTTTACTTAAAATGCGTTCAATCTCAGCCTTTATAGTAACCCTTTCCCTATGAAATAAAAAGACAGATCAATACCACTCTAGGAGGTTTAATAAGTTTTGAGTCACTTTAATATTGCATTTCATATCATTTTTGATTTATTACCATTTTCTTCTTTCTCGTACTTAAAGCCATGTGAAAAAGAAAGTACATCTTTTTTTAATTCTACGGTTTTACGTTATCAAGACATAGTAAAAATCATCTGGTTCTTTACAATTCTTAAAAGTTGGTAAATACAGCTTCAGATAAACAACACAACATATTACAGCATGTCATCATTTATTTTACAAAAAGAATGCCAAAATGGAAGCCATGTGTGAAAAATTAAGCACACCTCATGATTCAATGCTTTGTAGAACCAGTTTTGCCAGCAATAACTTGAAATAATTGTTTTCTGTTATGATTTTATCAGTCTTTCACATTGTTGTGGAAGAATTTTGGCCAACTCTTTTTTACAACTTTGCTTCAGTTCATTGAGGTTTGTGGACATTTATGCACAACTCTCTTAAGGTCCCACAACAGCATTTCAATCGGGTTGAGGTCTGGACTTTAACTGGGCCATCGCTATACCCTGATTCTTTTTTTTTTTTTCAGCCATTCTATTGTACATTTGCTGATGTGCTAGGGATGATTGTCCTGTTGCATGACCCAATGTTGGCCAAGCTTTAGCTTTCGGACAATGACCTCACATTCGATTCTAGAATATTAGAGAACTGCTAAGGGCCAGATGATTTTGCTATATCTTGATACGTTAAACCACAGAACTCAAAGAGGGTGAACTTTCTTTTTCATATGACTGTAGTGCTTTATTTTACTGAAATCTTGTCTTCTTTTAAAAGTAATTTTTGACATATATAACTTATGCATATATGAGCAGCTTTGGGGGCAAAGCTGAAATCTGAACTTGGATATCTGACATAAAAGTCAGCTACCATTCTTTTGTAACAATTAAAATAAATGCTAATTATACAACAGGTTATAAAGCCTATATGTATGAATATCAATATGTTTCTGTCAAATATTTAGAATCGAACATGATATATGGAAACAAAGAAAATGACTGTACAATTTTATAATATGGATGCATGAGAAGAGTGTGCTTTTCCAGCTTTGCAGACCAGCGAGGGGGAAGAGGGAGGGGATGGTATCATAATGATTGATCAATCATTAAAAATGCTTTTAATCTCCTAGATCTCTTAAACTTTTGTGACTATGCTAACATTAGTATTAGTAAAACTTCAGAAAATATTGTGGCAGCCAATATAATGGAAGTTGAGTGCTGCTGAATGTTCAGACATTTGGATCCTATTAGCATCAAGAATATTGCATTTTGGAACAAATAAACTTTACAAATTGTCTTCAAAGTCAATCCCATTTAAAGACACACTGTTGCAATCTAATTTGTAGATCATATATAAGTTTCACTAATTCATAATTAATAACCATAGGCATGTAATATTTATGCAACACAATTTTGGTGGGCTTTTTCCTAAATATTGTATTAATAAAATAATTGTTCAATCATAAAGCCTACAGATAACTAGAGGTTAATGTAGCTAAAACAAGCACAAGGAAATAGTAATCATTTACATTCTATCATTAAATTGTGAATAACTGTTATGCCATATTGACATCTTATTTCATAAAACAAAATATCATATACATAGCAAAAGCAATTATTCCACTACAAATTAATGATATTAATTT